CTAGCTGTGTGACTCTGGGCAAGTCACTTAACCCTGATTGCCTCACACACCCCAAAACCAAACCAAAACAAAAAATAAAAAACAACAGCATCAATAACACTGTCACTTCCCAAAGTCATCTTCCTTATATAGAACCCCACCTCTCAACAAGAAATATCCTTCGCAATGTTCTTTTCCCCATGTAAAAACCATCTCAAAACAAGAAAATATACTTAAATGAAACAAACCAAAACTTTGGCTATAAATGAAAGCACATCCCATTCTGTACCCCTCTCTAGTCCACCACCTCTGGGGAGAAGAGAGAGGTATACTTTACCATTAGTAAATAGTCTTCCTAGCCCAGCTGCTGCTCCTGCCCTAGAGCACTTAGACTTTTGATTTTGTTTCATTGAGAACTGGTGTGCTTTTCAGGAACATGTCAAGAGGATGTACGTGCACATGCAAGTGTTCAAATGTGCATGTATGGCTTTGTATGTGTAAGGATTTCCCCTGAAGATCAAAGAGTTGTGGTATGTAGGAAGACGGAGTTCTCTAATTACATGTGAGGTGATACAAGAAAACCAACTCCCCAGACATCTAGGTCAGGATGGATGGGAGAAAGAGATGTTGGGTACTGCCCTAATAAAAGCCCTTTCCCAGCTTTCACCTGCCTATGCTGCTGTTCTTTGTTCCCTCCAGCACCTTGGAAAAAAAAACCCTACATAAAGGTGAAGGCAAATTCAGGGGCACTTGGGGAGAGGTAGTAGTAGAATCTGATAAAACAATCTCCTGCATAAGCAGTTAATGAGGTAAAGAGTTCAGGTTGTTGTTTGGTTTGATTTGGCTGCAGACTAGTCTTAGGAATTGAGGATCCAATTTCCTGACATGCTCTCTTGACTAAGCATGAATGATTAGAAGCAGATCTCTGTCTCTGTCTCTGTCTCTCTCTCTGTCTCTCTGTCTCTGTCACTCTGTCTCTGTCTCTATCACTCTCTCTCTCTCTCTCACACACACACACACACACACACACACACACACACACACACACACACTCACTTCTGGAATGAGGGAATAGGAAGACCGAGGGAAATGGAGACAGAAAGAGAGAGAGAGAGAAAGGACAAAGTCCCAGCCCATTATAACATGGCTTGATATTACACGGATTTCAATATTCCATAGGTCAAACTACTATGTGATATAGTAGGCAGATGGAGAAAAGGAGTTTTTTGGGGGTGGGGCAGACCTGTAATTTTACTACTATAATGATTACCAGGGAAGAAACCCCTCTTCCAAAGCAGATCATCAACTACTTTGCAGCTTACAGTTGTAGAGAGTTGCCTGGGGCACTGAAGGGTTAAATGATTTGCTGAGAATCACATGGGGGGCACACAGCCATTGTGTGTTAGGGACTGGATTGGAAACCAAGGCTCTGACTTAGAGGCCAGTTCTATCCATTATATCATACTCCCTCTTGGGGAATGGTATAATGGTATTTATTGTGTAAGAAACCACAACCACCACCACAACTGAAACAATCATGCAACAAAACTGGACCTGGAGTCTGATGACCTCAGTTCAAGTTTTGGGTGACCTTGGGCAAATCACTTCCCCTCTCTAGTCTCCATTTTCTCATATACAAGGTGAGGTCATCGGACTTGTGACCAAGAAGGTCTCTACTAGTTCTATAAATGTCTAACTTCTGGGGTTATTTCTTGTTTTTTCCTCACAGTGGAGATAGAGTAGAGCTTCCGCCTAAGGGAGTATGGAAATGGTGTGGTAATAAAGGTCAGTTTAGGCCGAATAGCAGCCTGATCTCTAAGTTTGATTTAAGAGGAAACAGGAAGTCCTGCCCTCCAAATATCTCACTCACTACTCTACCACAGAGCCTGGAATTTGGCCTTCAGATAGTCATTCATATGGGTCAAGGTACTGCCTTCTAGAGATATCATCAGATACAAAAACTAAGCATGAATCAATTTGTTTATTTCTTTCCAATTTGTCTGAAAGAAGAGACCTGTAGTAATATGGCACTTAGTAGGAGATTTCTGGGAGATAGGGGGTATGAACAGTTTCTACTGTGAGATGAGAAGATGGAGGAAGTGGAAAGGCATCAAGACCAACTTTACTACTTCACAGTTTTGCTTCAGGTTAGCCATGGTCATAACACCTGACAGAAAAGTGCCAAATTTCAGCTGTCACCAAGAGGTTTGGTTGAAGAATAGTTGGTTTATTTAGAGGATTTCTTCATAGACTGGATGGGTGATGATTTTTTTATTTCCTGTAAGTAGAAGATCCTATTCTTCTAAATTAGGTTGAAATAAGCTAAATCCCTTTAGTTTGGATCTTTTGTTTTCTAATCTCTCAATAATTTTTTGCCTTTGCTGCTTAGTAATCTCTCCAGGTCCTTGCACCTCTCAATTTGTGAAGCCCAGACTACACGCAGTGCCTATTTCTAAGTTAAATGGGAAAAGGCATTTTGGTGTGGTGAAAAGAGTGTTGGTTTTAGAGCCTAAGGACCTTGGTTCAAATCCTAGTTCTATCATTTGCAACCTCTTCCTCATTAGGATATGAGGTCCTTAAGACAGGGACTATTCCCCGCCCCCTTTCTATGTATATCCAGTGCTTATTATAGTGCTGACACATAGTAAGTGCTAAGTAAATGCTTGTCAACTGACTGTGTGACCTTGGGCAACTCACTTAACTTCTCTGGAGATCAGTTTCCTTAACCCTAAAATAAGAAGGTTAGACTAGATGAGCTAAAAGTTTCTTTCCAGTTTTAAATCTATGTTTATGGTCCCCAAATTTGAGATTCTCATAAGTCCTGTGTTTTATGCAAGTACCCATAGGTTAATGCACATTGTTAAATGTTTTGCTCTCATCTGCATTCATTAATTTCCTTCAATAATTTTTCCTCATTTGAGATCATACTACTTAAGTCAGTCTACTCTTTTTTCCTTTCTTGAACTTTGTCTATATATTACCTCATGAATTTGCCCACTTGTGTCCCAGGCTCAATTTTGTTTTAGAATAATTTACTTAAAGGATTCTGCAAACTAACAAAATAATGGCAAATGACCTGGAAGATTAATTTAAATCTTTCTTTCCCTTTTCACTTTGAAGTCTCAACCTTTGACATGTTCTCCTGGCTAGCAGATGGACTTGCACAATCCCTTTTTTGTTGGCTTTATTCTCTTGGGTCTCAAGTTGACTTGGCTCAGGTTCATTAGGCTTCTTTCTAAACCTTGACCATCCATCCATCCATCTATCTATCCATCCATCTGTCCTTGACTGTGGTATTCTGTCACTTGGCCAGTTTCTCATTACCACATTGCTGAGTGTCATGCTAGCTTTATCTCCAATGGAATCTCGGAGGCAAATGATGAAGTGGAAAGAGCACTGGAAAGAGATTCAGAAAACATGAGTTCTAATTCTGATTCTGTCAATCACCATTCATGTGAACAAGTTTCCAAACCTTTATGAGTTTCATTTTTCTTATCTGTCAAATGTGGGTTTTGGACTAGAACAATGGACAGAAAAGGTTAACACTGGAAAGGACTTTAGACATCCTACAATCTGACCACTTTATTATATTGATGAAGACATGGAGATCCAGAGAGAGGACAAGGCCTCAACAGTGTTGCCCAGTGCAACATTCAGGATAAAAGCTCAAGTCTTTTGACTCTGAAGCTAATGCTCATTCTATTTCAGTAGGCTGTTGGACATAATGGAGCATGCCTATAATCTCTACTACTAGGAGGTTGAGGCTAGTGAATTGCTTGAGCTCAGGAGTTCTGAGATGCAGTGTGCCAAGTTGTTCAGTTATCTGAGCTATCTCTGGCACCAATATGGTAAGCTTCATACCCCCACCCAGGAGTGGGGGCAACCGGCTACCTAAGAGGAGAAAACTGGAGGTCAAAGTTCCCATACCAATCAGCAGCCTGTGAGTGGTTGCTGTACTCCCAGCTTGGATAAGAGAGGGAGAAACAGTGTCAAACCAAACCAAACCAAAACATTCCACCAGGCTGTCTCCTTGGATATGCTCTCAGGTCCATTTCAACTCTAACATGGAATCATAGACTTGGAGTTATAAGGCATATTGGAAGCCATTTGTTTCCTCTGATTCTGTGACTTAGGAATTCTTACCTTGGTCGTAGGGCAGCTAGGTGGCTCAGTGGATAGAGTGCCAGGCCTAAAGTCAAGAAGCCTCATCTTCCTGATGATTCTTCAGACACTTACTAGCTGTGTGACCCTGGGCAAGGCACTTAACCCTGTTTGCCTAGTTCCTCATCTGTAAAATGAGCTGGAGAAGGAAAGGGCAAACCACTCCAGGATCTTTGCCAAGAAAACTCCAAATGGAGTCACGTAGTGTCAGATATGAATGAAATAACTGAACAATCACCACCACCACCACCACCACCACCACCACCACCACCACCACTACCAATTGGCTTAGTCCTTTGGTTTGTTGTGCTTGTATGGATTCCTTGTTCCTCAGGATCTCTAGCAAAGAGTGGGTCAGTTAGGGATGCTTGGGGTGTCTCCTAGTAGTCAATATAATGGGCAATGACTGTTCTTCCATATAAAGTCTCCTTTGGCTCCGTTCTTGGAGGCAGAATGCTGGACTGGATGGATCACTGGTGTGTCTTGGAATGACATTTCCTATCTTCTTACTGAAGACATTTTAACCCAGGTAATAAACAGAATACATGTAGCTTTTTTATCCATTTATAAGGAAAGCATCAAAACACACATTCGGGGTGGCCTCTTATAAAAACATTTCACTATAGATTGGACTAAGAACAGGCACAACTGAAGTCATACTAGGAAATTCATAGGAGGGAGGGAGCGTCACAAATACTGATCAGAGAACCAAAGGGCTACTGTACAATCTGTTATCACTGGCCACATATCCCAAGGTAACTGTGCTTCTGTGTCTGGAACACCCCTTTTAGCACACACAGTGTGTATCCTTAAGGGCAAAGAAAGACTGCTTAGCCATGGCTGACAAATACATCTCTTACCTCGGTGACAGCAAAACTTCTCTTGCCACAGGGAACCACCTTGTACCATTTGTCATGCAGCACGTCCATAAATCCATGTGATTTGTACTGGCTGATAAGTTCTGATATATTTGAGGTCAGTGGAGAGTTTGGAGGAAGGCCAATACCGTAGCCTAGGAGAAAATACAATTTCAAATGACATTTCCTCTGGTGTTCCTGAGAGGCTGCAATAGATATCTTTGATTCAGTGTCAGGCATGATCATGGGAATAAAATCTCAAGTTTATTAAGCATCTTTCTTTCAAAGGATTCAAAGATATTTGTATGTGTTTTCCCTTTTAGACCAATAATTTTTCTATGAAAGAACTAGATGAATCTATATGCCTCTTCCTGAGGTAATAGAAAGTAAGCTTTGCACTAGAAGTCAGGATATCAGCTTTTCCATTAACTAATTGTGTGATCCCTGGTAAGTCATTTAACTTGTGTAAAGCTAAATTTGGTTTCTTAGTTTGATTTCTGATCCCTAAGATACATTTTAGCTCTAATGTGCTATGTCTTTCATTGATAAGGAGTCTTAGAAGAAGAATACGAACCCAGGAAACATCATATACCAGGTCTGTTCTTCTTACTCTAGTTGCCTGATTTTCAAGGACAAATTACCCACTGGTAAGACCATGCCATCACTGGGTGTTGGCACCCAAGAGAGAATATAAGAGATTTGATGTGAGATGTGGAGGGAAGACAGGGGTAGAGAACAAGTTACACCATGTAGGCCTGGAGGCAGTAGCAAGACAACCAGAGATGCCAAGCCACATGTGGACATGTAGAGAGAAAGTTACATATGACCCCCAGCATGAAGTAGACTTCACTTTATAGGTTCATTAAACTAGTAAAGGAGAAGGTGAGTGCCAAAGAGAAAAGAAAGATGATTTGGAAAGGAATTGTGGAAATGATGGCTTGGAGTTGTGGTCAAAACCAAATCATAGAACTACACTATGAAGGAGTAAAACTAGAACTTGTCTTACTAGTACTGTGGGTCATGTGGATTAAGTAGGTTTGGGGCAAAGGGAAGGAGATAAACTCTCTATAAGCCTAGAATTCTTCTCTAAGGGGCCCATCAGAGAGGATAATTTCTTGACTTCTCAGTAATGCTGAACCTGTAGAGTAGTACTACAAGTTAGAAGGACTGTTTTGGTTCTTATGGGAGAAGGCAGAGTAACTTTTACTATCTTTGGGCTCATGTACAAATCCTTTTTTTAAAAAAATATAAATGAAAACCCTTCAAATTAATGCCCCCATTAGCTTGAGTACTTGATAGAGAGCTGAGGACCTTTTTGGACATCAAAATGTGCAATGTAAAGAAATTTTCAGGGTTTTCTTAGGTGGAGGCATGAGCCAGGAAGATGAAATAGAGAAGTTTTGTAAGACGGATTCCCAAAATTGTGCACAATTATTTATATCACGACACTCAAGATACTCTAACACTAGGATTATGCTTTCATGTATTTGGACCATTTTATGATGCCAATGATGGTAGCTATGGAGAGAAATGTGGATAGGCTATTCAGTCCTACTCTTAGAAAAGTTTTGATGCAAATATTTTAGGTCTGAGATCTCAGCTTTTAGTCCTGTTTAGTTGCTTAAATATTTTGGAATCAAGGTCCATATTTGTTTTCTTTTTTTAGGTGAACTGGTTGATATGATAAAAATCTTTAAGTGCTAAAGGACTGCTAGGTAGAAGGATGGGGTTTGTTCTGTGAAGCCCTGGAGGGCCTACTGACTAAGGGTCAATATAAGGAAAAATGATCTAATAATAAGAGCTGTCCAATGTGCTGCCTTGTGAGGTAGTGAGTTTCCTTTCAACAGAACTCTTCGAGCTGAGGTAAAAAGGCTACTTATTAGAAATGCTATAGAGGAGATTTATATTTTCTGAATTGAACTGGATGACCTCAAGCCTTTTCCAACACCGAGAGTCTATGATTCATAGTCTCTCTTGTCAGCAACCTCCGGGATCCTTTCCCAGGGCTGAAACCTCAGGAAACCAGGGCCTTCTTTATCTTTTCCCTGTCTTCTTACTGGTTGAGTGGACAGTAATTATTGCATTTTAGTCTGTTGCTATCTTGGAAATTACTTTGAGAGACCACATAAAAGGGACCATAGACAACTGAATTTTGTTCTTAGCTCCTCAGTGCTACAACTCCAAAAGCTTTTTTTTTTTTAAACTTTCAGGAAAATGGAAGCAGATAAACTGAAAATACGGCTGAACTCTTTCACAGATCAAAAGTGAATAGCCTTCAAAAAGATGCATATGCTTAATGAAAAACATATTTTCTATAGTTCTTTCCCTTTATTATTCATTTCCAAGGACATTTATATGAAAATTGGGTCTTTGTTCTTTTTAGCAGATATACAAAACCTTTCATTGAAATGCCAGGGCATGGATGTGTGTATGCTTAATAATTGACATAGATGAAATAAATAATACAAAAGTATCACTTGATCTTACAAGTAATATACATTGTTTTTTCCTAATTATTTCTTTTGTTCTTTAGTAGTGGGGTGTAAAAAAATTAAAACAATGACAATAATAGAAACTAGAATTTTCAAATCTATTCAACATGTATTTTTGAGCACCTGATCTGTGCCTTGCTATTTTGGTTTGGAGGGCAAGGTTGATAATGGAATCTATTAGGAAGACAGGTTGTTCAGTACATTCTCTCATCAGATAGAATGTACTTATATGTAAGTTAAAAAGGAAGTGAGAGAAGGGCCAGAGAGGGGCAAATATAATAATTTCCAGAAAAGGGAAGAGGGTGGAATTTGCAAACTATAGATAAATGAACTTGACTTTGATTCCTAGCAAGATTGTAGGATATAAGGGAGGAAAGGAACAAATATTTATTAAGCACCTATTATGTGCCAAGCACTATTGCTGTGCTTTGCAAATATTATATCATGTAAAGGGGTGGCTTTTGAATATTTAGATGAGGAAATAATGATCACTTAGGGGTGGCATAGCTTCTCAAAAACAGGTCATAGCAAGCTCATTTAATTTCTCTTTTTTGACATTTACTGCACTGGAAGATTATGGGAATGCAGTATACCTTTTTGAAAAGCATTCAACAGAATTTCTTATTCTATCCTCATAGACAAGATGGAGAAATATGGCCTAGAAAATAGGCTAGGTAGGAAGAAGTCTCTATAGAAGACTCCAGAGATCTATCCTTGGCCCTGTGCTAGTCAACATTTTTTATCAATGACTTGGATGGAGGCATAGATATCACCCACACATATCAAATCTGTAGGTGACCCCCAAAAAGGAAGTCATAGCTAATATAATGGATGGAAGATTCAGAGTCACATAAATGTGAGGTAAGAAGTAATTCAAACTTAGGCTGCATTAAGGAAGGTAGTGTGTCCTGGACTAGGGAGGTACCCCTTCTGTTGTACTCTGTCTATATATTTCAATGTCTTTCCTAACATGTTACACAGAGAGCCAAGTACGGATCTGGGGTACTTTGTTTGGTGCTGTGTGCAATATTCTAGGAAGGACACTGAAGTTGGAGCTGGAGAGCGTTCATAGAATAACAAAGGGTCTTGAATTCATGCCATATGAGAGCTAGTTGCTGGGGAACCTGAAGAAGAGAAGACTAGGAAGGAGGGCATGACAGCTATTTTTAGGTATCTAAAAGACAGTTTTGTGGAGAAGGGATTAGATTCATTTGGTTTGGTCCCAGAGGGCAGAACTAGGTACAGTGGGTAAAAAAATCACAAAAAGGCAAATTTTAGGCTTGATGTCAGGAAAAAGAAAATGTCTTAATAATTAATCCTCCCAATATTATTAGGAGTCTTCAAAAAAGAGACTGGATGGCCACTTTTGGTATGTTGAAGGTGGAAGGATTTTTTTTTTGGTATGGAACTAGAAGGCAGCTTAGGTCCTTTAAAGCTGTGAAATTTTAAGATTCTGTCACTTGTCTGTGTGCTCCCAGGAGGTAGAATTTGGAACAATGAGTAAAAATGGCAACAAGGCAGCTTTAAGCTCCATGTAAAGAAAAACTTTCCAACAATTTAGAATTTAAAAAAGAGGGGGATGGGCTGATTGAGGAGAGAGTGGATTTGGCCTCTCTGGAGGTTTTTGGATGGTCAATGGATGACTACTTGTCAGTGATTTTATAGAATGTGGTCTTGGTTAGATATGGCTTTGAAAGTTCTTTACAGTTCTGAGATTCTGACTCAACAACTCATGTTGCTGGATATTTAACTCAGAGTTGTTTTGATGACCAAATGAGATATGAATTGAATGCATTTTGTAAACTTTAAAGTGCTACATAAATATTAATCATTATTATTTGGATGCAAAGGACTTGGATTTGAATCCAGACTCTGTAGCTTATTACCAGCATAAGTCATCTAACCTTTCTGTAACCCAGTTCTCTCATCTCTAAAATGAGAGGGTTGGACTTGAGTTTTAAGGTCCTTTCTAGCTTTAGAACTATGACTCTAGATTTTATGTAAGTCTCCATTCCAACCTCATCTCAAACAGGCTACTTTTGAGAAGTTTCTTCCAAATTTCACCTGGGCTTGTATAGCAGGCAATTCCAGCCCTCATGATTGCACCTGATGACAATTCTATTCTGGAATCATATATTGTGGTCGCCTAGACTCAGTACGTGAGGAGACAGCCAAGTCTTTTAAAATGAATGCTTCCGAGGAGGCAATACTTGTTCTAAAAATAAGCTTTGAGAGCACTGTGCAGGTATTCAAATGCACTAGGAGAAAAGCTTCATCTAATGTACATTGATATTTGGAGAAACTGACACACTGAAAGTGATAAATATTAAATCCCTCCACTCTATTACATCTCAGTTAAATTGCAATTGACCTGGTAAAAATAGACCTCGATCCATTTTCATCTGATATTCTAATTTGCTGCACTGTTATGCACATAGCCAGTGGTGAGGCTTTAGTGCTATATTCTTGGTTCTCTGAATATCATCATTAAAGAGAATGGAAACTATACATCTGGAATATGAAGGTGGAGAGGGGATACACAAATAAAACTTATTTTGGTTGGTTTATGAGGGAGTTTTATAACAGCAAAATTTTTGCTATCATTAGAACTAAAAGACCCAAAAGCACAAGGGTTTAATTTTTATTCTCCCTCATTTGCATTTAAAATTTGCCTGTCCTCAGGGACCAGAGGATGGCTTTTCTACCTGCCAGCTTCTTCTGGCATTCTGAATCACTTTCCTAATTATCATTCGTAGCTAGGAGCTGCCATCAAGACTGGGCTGGCCATATTTTTGTTAGATGAAGCACAATAGAATCCTCCAGCTTGAAAGATGAAGGTATCAGGTTCTTTGGACAATTACAGGATCGTGGACTGAGCTGGAAGGGTCCTATGGGTCATCAAGTCTAAATCCTTCATTTTACAGATGAGAACCAGAGAGGTTGAGTAACTTCTCCAAGTCCTCATAGCCAGTACATGTCTGAGGTGTATTGAAATCCAGGTCTTCCAGATTAAAAGTCAAGTACTCTCTCCATGCCATACTATCTATACAATGCTGCTTCTAGGACAAGGGAACAATTTCTAGAACATGAGCCTGATCACTTCCTTACAAATGAATTGGAATTTCTGTGTTAAGGGTGGTAGAAGTGTATTTTGATTCCACTGACTTCACAGGTTAACAATACTGTGTTTACATCCTGCTTGGAAAATACCTGTTTCTGAAATAACCTCTCAGATGACTAGGGTTAACAACATCATCAGAAAGAAAGATCCATTTAGTTTGGCAGACTTTCCATGGCATGCCATTTGCAGCCAATGTGAAGAAAGGGCTCAGAATGTATTTTAATTGGCTTAATGCTCAGACTTTTAAAATATCTTTTAAAATATGGATTTTTTTCCTTTTTGAAGATGAAAAGAGAGGTATGTGAGGGAAGACCTAAGACAATCAGAATAAACTTGGGTAAATTACATAACTTGTTGGCTTTGTTTACTGACCCAAAATATTAATGGCTCTTATGGGCATTGAAACAAGCCTGACTTAACAGCACATTGAGTTCTTTGGATGGAATGCCATATATCATTATTGTTCATCTTCATTATCCTTGCTCCTCCTAGGACATTTATTGCTGCAATACTTAACTTTGGGACTTGTATTAATTTATCTCAACAGTTCCTTTTCCAATTCCAGTGACATTATTCCACTGGTACATCAGATTCAATTTCACCCAAGACTTCCCACAGTCTCTCGAACATTTAATAGTTTTGATCCCCACTTCTGCATGCTTGCTTTGGAACAAAATCTACTTCTGAGGAGCTTTTAAACAAAACTTGGAGCTGTTGTCATTAATTGTTTATTATTTCATTCTGTCAGATAAATCATTTCCCAGGTGATGAAATTTTGAGGGAATTTAGAAGCAAGGTTGTATTGATGGGTTAAAATCATTACACATTCATAAGACACACATTATCTATCTATCTATCAATTATCTATCTATTGCAAATCAACATTCAACATATTACATGTTTTAATGAAAGTACCTCATTCTCTCTTGTGCCTACATGAATTCCTGATAGTAATTTTTAGCATTGTTACCTTTTTTTGTTTTTTAGATGTTTCAGACTATTAGTTGGCTATTTGGTTAGTTGCAACAGGTACTATAAATCTAGTTTAATGAAAATTTATTAATGAAGTTTAATTGATTAATTAAAATTAATAATGAAATAATTATTTGTTGAATGTCTACTAATTTCTGAATTAGGCATTGTGGGAAATAGAAAAGTAGGAAATGGTATGTCCCTTTCTTTCAAAGAGTTTACAAGTTGTTCAATAATGCAAAGTTCATTGAAACTTCCCAATGAAAATTCCACTGGCTATTGGAGTATAATATATTTTAAGCAAAGATCACATTTTTTCATGAGAATAGTAAATCAAAATGTTGTAAAAATGGATAGTGGAAGCATCTGTACAGTTTTTTATTTTACTCCATGCAATTGGAAAGAGGTCTCCCAAATTGACAGTTGCCTTTTTTTCTTTGTATTTGTTCATTTTTAAAACCAGGAATTAGCTATGTGAGCACTGGCAAGAACTGGTTCAGTTCTCTCAGGCAACTCTCTAACACTACAAGTTAGAGGTGAATTACTAATTTATGTTAATGTAGAGAGTTTCCACACCAGGAAATTCCCCACACCAGTGGAATGAAGGACTTTATACCTCCAAAGACAGATAAGATGCTAAATGTTGCTTGACCCTCAAAAATATGCTTTCTTCCTTTTCTTGTGATCAAGTCTTACCTTTCTGTATAATTGATAATGAGAATTTTCTTAGAGGGTTGATATCTATTCTGAACTTCACTTCTTAAGTTTTTATAGTAAGTCAACAATGAAAATAATGGTCTATTCTAACCTTCAATATTCCTGCTTATTCTTACACTGAGCTGCAAGACCTTCCCATAAGGGATCACAGCATTCCACCATTGGAATGAACCATTGTGCATTTATTCCCTTTAAAAACAACATGGTGCCTAAAGATGATGCCAACCACTAGAAACAAAGTTTCATGAGCACAGATGGGAATGTAAGCAGAAAACCAGTAGGGAGTTAATTAGAGCTACAATGGCATCTGGTACTGAGATAGACCAGGGTGGAACAATCTATATCACCCTTTCCTTCTTAGAAGATAGGGTCACCCCCTAGAGCAAAAGACATCTTGGTCTTTCTTAATCAGAGACAGCTCAATCGAATATAAAGCAGGTCATCATGCCTGCCATCCTCAAGCCCACCTGATATGATTTACCGTTATTGCTGATGGCAAAGGGACCACAATTACCCAATGTGAAGAAACAAAATTGAATAGCTTTTTCATGTCCCCAGATGCTATGCAAATCTGGAATTTTTTGGGCCATACCAAATCAACCAATTGATTGTCTAGGTAGGCTGCCTTAGCTGCCTTGGGCTCTGATTTTAACTGCTCACTAACTTGTTCCCAGAACTCCCTCTGTCTCTTTCAATTGTTGGGTACTAGTTTTGGTTTGGAGAGGTTCTGGTTCATGGAGGGGTCATTTTGCCTTGAGAGGTAGGGAAGAAATTGATTGCTCTTGGAGGAAGGCAAAATTGAACAGCTTCCACTCTTGCCATTGATCACAAAAATAAAGATTGGGGTCAGCAATCTGTTAATGTGTTCAGGGGAAAGAGATACCGAAGCAGGCAAACTGGAGTTGGAATTGTCCTGATCTCAGAGAGCTCAGTGACTGGGCACATTGTACTAATCACATGTTGATTGAGGGATCTCTCATTTAATGTGCTGGGTGGGATTAAGGGTTCCAGGCAGTAGGCTATCCATTTCCATTGTGTTGCACTGAGCTGAGCAATTTGCTGCAAGAAAAATGAGAATGACTAACTTATCAAGGATGTTTTAAGACTCCTTGTATGTGGACAGCTAAGGGGAGAGGGAAAGAATGAGCAGATCTAGAATTTAAAATTTGTATAGGGAAAAGTTCCACTGTCATTTGTCTCCTCCAGCAGAAGCATCTCTTGACAAAGTAGTCCTACTTCATTTAGTCTAGCCTTTAGCCCATGGTCATAAATGCTTGTTGACTTACTGGCTATATCTCGACCCCAAATCTGTCTTTCTTCTAATGCTGCTGGCATGGTATATAAGTCCCGGTAGTTGTAAACTCTTTGAGGATAAGGACTATGTCTAGGCCAGGAAGGAGGTGATAACCAGAACTAAACTGGCAGCAAAAAAAATACTTACCAATGATCAGGAGGTAATAAAACTCTCCTTAGGGGCACTGAAAGAGAGGATTGAGTATATAGCAATCTCAGAAAGTTAATTTCAAAATGAGTGGTCCATTTAAGTTCATTTACTAGCAATGTGCAGGTAGAAAAATCACCAGACTGAGAGTATGAAGACTTGAATTATAGTCTAAGCTTTGGCACTGACTGTCTGGGTGACCTTGGGCAAATAATTTAACTTTACTAGTTTCCTCTTCTAAAAAAAATGAGAGATGATATTGAAAGTCCCATCTACTTCTTAAACTCTATGATTGTAGTTTTACAGACTTGGATTGATCACAAGACCTGACCATTAAAGAAATCAAATCAAAATGAAGTAAAATGACTTTTAATACTTGTTAATGAATTCATCCTCTCCCCCCACTTTTTGCTGGATGGATGGAATGAGCAAATGGTACCCCAAAACAGTGCCCAGCTCTAGTAGCTTCTGAGATAAGTAGTTGAGAATGACAAACTGAAAACAAGGAAAGATGGATGGTTCTTTGCATCAGTGCTGACATCTGCGTTGGTGACTTGCAAGGTTGGCAAGCCCAATATGTTCTTAATAAAAGCAAAACAACAGTAACTGATTATACCTTCAATGGCAAATGGTTTCCCCACTGTGAGTAGTTTGCAGTCAGCATCAATGGACACTTCATAGTCTAGGAGTGCTTTGTCCATGATGAAGGCGTCTAGCTTCTCTGGATCATTCCTAGGGTTAAAACCAAAAGAAGACCCCCCCCCCATGAGTCATTAATAATCAGGGAGCTATGTACAGAGCAGAAAGCAGCAGAGGAAGTTGGGGTGAATCAGGTTAGCTAGTAGTGAAGTTATCTCTTTTTAAATCTTACTGCACTGAAGACTGTAGATCAAGGCCAGTAAATTCAGTGGGGATGAGGCTTAAATTCCCCTTGCTTCAGGCTGGCATGAGGCACTTCTTTCCATAGACTCAGGCAAAGAAAAGGTCAGAACTGCCTTGACCTTCTCTAACATGGTTCTTGATGGGGTTCAGATCTGGTGGTTTACGAATGGAGACCTCATAAATCTGTACATTGAATGGTGATCCTTATCGGGCATAAGCTTTATTGAAGACTTTGGAGGTCAGGTTGCCATTCCCTGGGATGGTTAATGAGCAAGGGAGGATAAATAAAATAGTAGATCCTCTAGGGCAGATGGCAGCAAATGATTCATTATGACAGGTATTACAGTGTAGCAGAACGAGTACTGGAAGGGGAGTTAGAACTGGATTTGAGTCCTAACTATTTCCTTTATGTACTGTGTGACTATGGGCAAGCAGCTTCAGTATTTTAATCTGTGCAAGGGGGAAATATGGTTTCACTGTATTAAATGGTAGCTATTATTACTCACGGAGTTTGTTGTGAGGATCAGATGACATGATACGAGTAAAGTGTATTATAACTGCAAAGCACTATGTAAATGTGTTATCATTATTAATGATGCTTTTAGGCCAGTAGGATTGACTCAGTCAATTCAACAAACACTGAATACATACCTTCTATGTAGGATAGAGAGATGAAAAATGACATTTCATGTGCTCTAGGAGCTTATAATCTACCAGGGTGATATTTTATGTACACAAATAGGTATAATGCAAGATAGAATATGATAAGGACAAAGGAGAGATACAGACAAACCTCTAGGAATATTTGAGATGGGAGAGATAATTTTCAGTTAGGGACAGGAGGAGGGGGAAGGTCTTATGGAAGATCTTATGGAAGGAAGAGAAGGAATTCAATAGGCAGAGGTGAGGAATGAATACATTTTCAGCCATGAGGAACAGCTTGTTTGAATGCTGGGAGATGGGAGATGGCAGAAAAAGAATAGGAATGCAACATAAAGTGCATAATGAGGAATAATGTGAAATAAGAATGGAAGGCTGTAAGTACTGGGATAAAGAGTTTGAATTTTATGTTATAGAGCAGAGGTGTCAAACACGGTTCTACATTTCCCAAGTATGAGCAACCATATTAAATATTTAACAAAATGAATAAAAATGCATATATCTATATACATAGATATATAAAACATTACATTTAAAAACTAAGTCAGTATGTGGCCAGGAGTAATCCTTATGGATGAATTAGTAGTAGTCTGCATCTCTTTTTGAGTTTGGTACCACTGTTACAGAGAATAGGGGATGGTGATATGATGATAAATGCAGGTTATTTGATAGTATTTAGTGGCTGAATGAAACTCTAGAGTAATTGTTTACTTCCAACACTCAAGAAGGGTTGAGTAATGATAATGATGACGATGATGATGATGATGATAATGATAGTGATAACTCACATTTGTATGGCACTTTAAATTGTATACAGTCTTTTTCCTTACAACAAACCTTTAAATATTATTTTATAGAAGAGTAAATTGATACATAGAGAGATTAAGTGACTTGCCCAAGGATTCACAGCTAAGGGCAGAGCTGGGATTCAAATTTGGGAATTTTGAGTCTAGGACCAATATTCTTTGAACAATTCATTTAAGCAAGCCTTTATTAAGTGCCTACTATGTGCAAGGTACTGTACTATGTCCTAGGGATACAAAGGTAAAATTAAAAACAGTCTCTGTCCACAGGGAGCTTACATTCTTCTGAAGAGGAAAAACATGTAAAGAAATAAGTAAATATAAGACAATTTGACCACAGAGAACACTTACAACTAGGGGGATCAGGAAAGGCTTTTCACTGGAAGTAACATATGAGCTGATCCTTGAAGAAAGTCAAGAATTTTAAGAGGCAAAGGTGAAGATGGAGTGTATTCTAGGTATGGGGACAAGTTGTACAAAGACATGGAAATCTGAGATGGAATGCTGAGTTTAGAAAACAACAACATTTCAGCTGGAAGGTAATGTGAAGAGGAGTAATGTGAAACAAGTCTGGAAAGGTCAGCTGTGTCTGCACTGTGAAGGGCTATAAATGGAAAATAGAAGAAGTAGTTATATTTTGTTTTAGATGCAGCAGGGAGCCACTGAAGTTTTTTGAGGAGGGGAGTGACATGGTTAGATTTGTGCTTTAGGAATATCAATTCAGTCACTGTGTAGAGGCTGGACTAGGGAAGGGGAAGGAAACCAATTAGGAGGCTATTACTGTAGTCCAGGCAAGATATAATGATGGCATCAACTTGGGGGAAGGGAAAGAGAAAGGAAAAGGAAAAGGAAGAGAAGAGGAAAAGTGAAAAGGAAAAGAAATTGGAAGGGAGAAGGGAAGAGAAAAGGAGAGGGAAAAGTAAGAGAGAAGTGGAGGGGAGAGAAGTGGGCAGGAAGGAGAAAAGCACAGTTTCCAATGGCATAGGAACAGTCATATTGCCATACAGTTCCAGGGTTGCTAAAGGAGTCTAAAAGAGGGCACTAGCACACTCACTTTCCTGTGGTTCCTCTTGATGACTAGAATGTGTCTGTTGGACCTAGTCATAGTTGTTTTAGGGAAGAGCATTTTCAAGACCTTCCTGGATGGGACTGGAAGGAGCAGGTTGACCTGCAAGTACATAATTATTCGCGGAACATAAGCATGCATGTATTTACTTCAACATGGCAGCTTTTCCCAGCCATCTTCTCTGGGAAAACTTTATTTACTGGACAAGGCATTTCTTTAGTGTTCCTAAGCTCCCCTTTCTCCCTGTTTTCCATCCTTTGTCCCTTCTCCCCTTTGTATGTAAAGGGTACATAGGGTCCTCATGCTTTCTCTCTCATCCCCACAGCAGAACTTGACCTTAGGGAAGGATTTGATAAACTCCAAATATGCTGTATCTCCCAAGGAGTATTTGTATCTTTTGTATTTGGCTTGACTCAAAAGAATGACTCTCTAAGTGCATGAAATTGCAGACATTACCAAGATTTTTTTTGGTGAGGTGTCAAGAGAGCCTTCCTGGTGTTTGAAGTCATACTGTAGAATTGTCTACCTATTCTGCCCCAGTAATTTGTCTTGGACTAGAAAGACTTCTTTAGGACCACAGGCATGGAAGAAGACAGCATAAATGTCTATATAGTATAGAAGCGGCATGGTATAATCAGAATAACACTAGATTTTGAGTCAGAACTTGGCTTCAAATTTTACCTCTCTCAGTCGTCATTTGTGTGCCCTGGGCATTTAACCTGTCTAGGCCTCAGTTTCCTCATCTATAAAATAAGGGAGTTGAACTAGATGGCCCTTGAAGTCCCATTCAACCCTAAATCTATGATACTATAATCCTATCCACTTTTCTATTCAGCTATTTTAAAAACCAAGAATCTTTGAAGGTAAGGGAAAGGTCTCCAGAATACAGCTCACTTTGACTCCCATTCAGATAGAAGCCAGAGTTTATTGCAGCTTGGAGCAGAAATGATGCTTTTAAAAATAAGCATTTCCAGCTGCTGCTCATCTCCTGTGGGGTTATTGCTTTGAAACATAATAGAATCCTTGCAATAGAGTGAAGTTTTAGCAGAACAACTTTACTCATACAAGAGGGTACTTGGAGCCTGAGAAGCATGCTTCACATCACAAAACAAAGAACTAATTTAGGCTTGCACTCTGGCAAACAACGAGAAACCAGTTACCATCACTCACTAACACATTTGGGTTAAAATATTTTTAAAATCTAGTGGTTTAATGCAATTTTGGGAGCTGGTAAAGAGCTCTGAGCTTACCATTCTCCATAAACCACCAAATCCCCAGGCTTTACTTCCCTTTCTGTAAAGTGAAAAGAATTCTAAAATTTCTCTCCCTCTTCCACTTGACAAAGTATGGTAAGAAACAATGGACTGTACTCTTCTTTTGTGGGATGGCAGAATATTCCTGTGTAACCCAAGGCTAAGGTTTCAGCCAGTGGAAAAGGCACTGGACTAGTAGACAAGAGCTGGGCTTTTTCAATGACCTGGTGTTTCTTTTTGTATCAAATGAGGAACTTGTTATTTAAGGTGCCTTCTAGGATTGACCTTTCATGATTCTTGCACTAGCTCTTTCTGTCCATGGAGCTGCTAATTAGCTGTGCTTTGAGGACCACTAAAAACCCTCCATTATGTGAGATGAACTGAAAGATACTTCTTCCTCCAGGTATTTCCCCTGCTGGCTTGCCATAGCACCCTACACTCTGACTTTAGAAATTGTTTCTTTGGGTTACAGTGTTCTATGTCCAAGAATCCCATGTAAACAATGCAAATACCTCAGGAAAAGGTAACACAAAGACCATAACAAGGATAAGTTTACGAAAAAAACTCAACTACCTATTGTATTAGGAAATGGAGATCTAGTTCCTTAAGGAATTGAAAACAGGATAGGCAAGTTTTGAAAGGGAGTGGAGTAGAAAGAAAGTATATGTCTTAGAATATGGAATACTTCTTATAGAAGTGAAGTGACAATGAGATACTTTCTTGATCCCCCCCAGGAAGATACTGAAATACCAAAGAGGTAAGAGAGGAGTAGAAGACATTTGAAATCTGAATAGCAGAGAGAAGAAAAGACAATGGAAAAGTTGGAAAGTGGTTAGAAGAGTTCTATTCTATATATAACCTAACAGACAACAGCTTAGGGCAATTTCTGTTTACAATAAATATTTTAGTACCAATCAACTCCCTGCGGATCAAATACAGTTGAGAAATTAAGAGTAAGAAAAATAGGGAAATCCAATAATAAGGTTGGCAAGTTTTCATAAAGCCTCACTTAGGAACCAGTAGCACAATTAACTGTATGACAAATAGGCAGTTTCCTGAGGTGATTTG